TAGTTAGTATTTGCACAAATGTTAATACATTGTAATACAAAATCTGTAATATTAAAATTGTGTTGTTAAGAAAATACATAGTTTCACAAGTTTTATAATACTGTTAAATTTGTGTTGACGAAATAGAACCTTACCGGAGTTGCACATATCTTTTTGTAAATACGAGAAGCATCAAGTACTTCTATGAAAGCATTTTTCATTTTATCCCGTTCATCCACAAGTTTTGTTGCTAATGATACGTGATTTTTGAAATCAGTTTCGTTTGTATGTTTCAGTTTAATGTTCCATATTACAATGTTACATCTTAAAAATTTTATCGTCCGGATCATGTAAATTATTTCGAGGTCAGCCAGTAATAATGGAAGACAAAGTAAAACCCAACGTAAGTTAATACCTCCCATTACGGCGTAACTCGAGCACATGAGAATATAGAATAAAACAATTACTAAAACATGAATCCAGTTGCCAATGATAAAATGTCTATAGTTTATATGAGTAAACTTCTGTATTTTTTGAATGTTTAATATGAAATCTATATTCAAGTCGCTGTGAATGACATTACTCATGGCATTCGTAATCCAACCAAAAGTAATTATACAAATATAAAATATTAACATTATATAAATAAATGACTGAATATGCAATATTTCATTATCAAATATACTGATATAGATGTAAGTAATGAGCACGCAAAAAGTGCAGCAAAGATAAATACAGTTAGCAGTGCGGCTGTTAGGAGTTATAAAGTTATTATCAATGCGATATTTTGAAGAAAACATCATTTGTTGAATAAAATTTAAAGGAAGAAGGAATTTTTTTAGATCAGCTCCAAGAAAATTGTCTAAAAGGATTTCGTTTCGAACAGGATTGACTAGGAACGAAACCTCATTTGAAAATCGCTTCGACATTATTACTAATGTAGCACAGCACTAACGCCCTGACTATACTTTGATAATTTTGAAAGTTATAAGTTAAGTAAGATATTAATCTACCATCATTTGTTACACTGGCTTAAAAGATGCCATGTGTCCTCGAAATCTTCTTTAATTTTTTAGTGGCACACTGCAAATTAATTTTTAAAATTGAATGTATAAAACGACTTTGTAGTATGTAATATAAGGCGTTCGGACGACCCCTGAGCTTCTTCGTATATAATTGGAATATAACATTTTACCGTGTATTTATTCACAGTAGGTATTAATTTTGTAAGTAATTTGATTGCATTAATCGAAAAACATTTATCATTGTTATCATAACATGTCAATCAATGACATACTCTAAGTAATAACGAACATGAATAACAAATGATTTACGTAATTAACTCGGAACATTATATTAAAACTTTTTAATTCCCGACGTTTCGAGTGATATACGGCATCCATAGTCACAGGTTGGACTGAGGTGATAATGATGACTCCGCGGCGCAGTAGCTTAGCAATGATTTGCAGCGTATAGAATAAAACGTTTGAAAAAGAGTATTACAAAAAAAAAAAAACGCAAAATTGCAAGGTTTCTTCGTTGAAATTATATGTTTTCCATTCGTTGCTTGAAATAACGAATTATTTGGTAAAAATAGTTAGTTTTCTCTACTACAATAAGCTCAGCGCAAATTTTAGACATTTATTTATTTATAGTACGTGCCAAATCGATTGAGAAAAACGGACAATGACCTTTCCGTCGTTTAACCAGGGACTACAAACCTTCAATATATAGGCATTTTTATGTGTAGTACTTTCTTTATTTATAATGATTTTTTATAATTTTTTTTATAATGATATAATATATATTTATTTAACTATTATTAAAAAGTTATGTAAAAGATCGCTGTAGAAGAAAAATCATCTATTGTCATAAATTACTTTATTCATTTAACAACAAAAAGCATTAATTTATAACATATAAAGATTCGGGTGATAACGACACCGAATAAGTACGTACTTATTCAAAAGATAAAACTTTATTTTCAATATTATATAAGTACTTTATTTTTATTCGGTGCATGCGGACCGAAAAAAGTGACGCATCTCTGGCTGTCATTGTCACGTTTACTAACTGACGTAACGCGCGTTTTATTTTAAAGGGATGAATTTGCAAAAGCTCAAAATGGTGATTATATTGCTTCAAATATTTTTTTAAATATGAAACTGTTATTATATGAATTCCTGCACTACTTACCATAAATTGAAATATAAAATATAACACATTTTTCGCGATGTACCGTAAGATTTTACGATGTTTATAGGAACTACAGACAATATTATTTAAGAAACAAAAAAGAAACCATATGTGCTGACCTAGAAGTGTGAATTATATCAATATTTAAATATTGTTATCACATCTAAATTGAGATATTGTAAGTTACGCCTTTTGACACTCTGCTCATATCTGAGGTCATTGTCCGGTTTTCTCAATCTATTTGGCACGAACTAGTACTACTACTAGTAATAATGATTCTCCCGATTCATGTTTAAGCCAAAACTCTGAGAGACATGATTTGGTAGCTCTAATTTGTAGATTCTATTGAATATCAACCATAAAAAATATTTTTATCTCCCTAGTACCCTATACTTTAATAATAAGAGAATACATTTTCGTTATATGTATTTCACGTAAGGAAAAAAATCAACATAATTCAATTAACAACATAAAAATGACACACCAAAAAATTTCCATCCACTGAACTCCATCCTAACCAAACTTGTATAATAGAAGATCAAGATCGTTTAGTCGCTACACTCACGGTATCGTAGTGCGAGCGAGTGAATAGGTATGAAATAAAGTATCACTCGCGTAGGTCGTCGCCCGTTCGGAGCGTAAAATACCTAAATATGCGTAAGCCGAAATGTAAGAGGACTCTTAACTAGTGTTTGTATAGTTTAAAGTTTTTTTTGTATTCGTTTTCATAAATGGGGAAGTAATGTAGGTGTGCTGCGCACACACACACATGGGTACTTAGTAATCTTGTACCTATCTACTTAGTTACTAAGATTTTTTAGTCAGTCGCTAGTTGCCCGCCAACTATCGCGCGTTCATCTATAAATAAATATTTCATGAGTTATTCAATCTTTCATTATGGTTTATATGTATATATTCTTAATTAAAAATCAAAATGATGATGCGCTGTCACCCCTAACTAAGATGGACGGAAGAGGACTAAGATGGAATAACTCGTTTCCAGTAAAAAGGATCTCCGGATCTACACTCTTCACACAATGTGTTTCACATCAGCATTAAGCTATTTCACGCTGGTATTCTGTGAGAGCGCAGTCCTTTCCGAGCCGACCCATTCGTGCTCCAAACATAATGTCCTCCAGACCAAATTTCGGTCAAAGCGGCCTGCCTCAACGGAGACTAGCCATCGGCGCAGGACAAGATTATAGTGCCCAAGTGTATGCGCAAGTGCAGGTGCACTCTATTCCCTCACTCTCATAATCGGATCGGACGGTAAACCGACACATCCGGAGAGAGATCAGGCGCAGGACAAAACTGTCCCAGATCGGTATAAACGGCGATCTGCTTCGGTGGTTTACGTCTTATATAAATAATCGATCACAAGCTGTTGTCGTTAGCAACTACATATCAGGATGGGTAACTGTTCCAAGTGGGGTGCCACAGGGTTCACTGCTGGGTCCGTTATTATTTGTTATTTTTATTAATGACATTACGTATTACCTGAAGAAAGCTCACTTATTATGTTTTGCCGATGATATGAAGCTATTTCTGAAAATAACATCAATCGAGGATGCTGAGGCTCTACAAGAAGATCTAACAAATCTAGAGCGTTATTGCCACCTAAACTTCTTAGATTTGAACCCTTCGAAATGTAGCTTTATGTCCTATAGTCGCAAATATAAACCGATTGTCTTTAATTATAAATTGAAAGGTGAAAATCTTAAAAGGGATTCCATTGTTAGAGATCTCGGTGTTCTTCATGATTCCAAATTGATATTTGACGTTCACTTAGGAAGCATTATAACCAAATCTACGAAAGCTCTTGGATTTTTGATGCGTAGGTCTAGGAACTTCACTAAAGCTAAAACTCTAAAGATCCTATATTGTTCTCTTGTAAGAAGTAATTTGGAGTACGCATCTCAAATCTGGAACCCCAGGTATGCAACATATATTACCCGACTTGAAAATATCCAAAGTAAGTTTATGCGTTACCTCTGTTATAGAACAAATGACTATAGCTATACCTCAGATAATTATATTAGTTATTGTAAAAAAACATCACCTTCTTCCTCTTGCTATGCGTCGTGAGATTGCTGACCTCACTTTTCTGTTAAAAATAGCTTGTAGTGCTATTGACTGTCCTGAGCTTTTATCTCAACTACATGTTAGCTGTCCTGCCAAATCTCTTAGATACAACAAAATTTTAAGTCTCCCGTTTTCATCTCCAAATTATAGACAAAATACATTTATATGGCGAGCGAGCAATAATTTCAATAAGCTAGCCAATGAGTTTAACTTCGATTTGTTTAACACTAGTGCTGCGTCAGCTAGGCGCATACTTAACAATGCATTTTTTGGTAGGTCTAAGTGAGATATTGATGGGTTGCTACACAACTATGATTTACTTTTGTATTTGTGTTTATTTTTCTCTTAAAATAGCTTGTAGTGTTATTGACTGTCCTAAGTATGAGTTGATTGTCTTTTATATGTATAATACAAGTTTAGCTCTCATTTGGTATAAATATGTTGTATTGGATACTTTCGAGTGTTAAATCGTATTTATCACTGTTGTAAATTCACCTTTGGATCTATTAGCGAGGATCTTTAATTGGCTTACTGTTGTTATTAATACTATCTATTCTAATTATGATAGCTGTTGGTCTTCCAAATAAAATAAAATAAGCAGTCGCACTACTACAACTACTAGACCAACGAGGCAGTCTCCAAGTATAATATAGCTACAGAATGACACTACCACGTCTGGAAAGTGCATATTCGATCAAAAGGAAAGGATTTTCGTTAAGTTTGACGAATAAAATCGCGTGCAGGTCCGCAGATGAAGTCTGTGCTACGGCACATATTGACGATCGACCACCGCGACGAGCCCGTGTTCCCCAGCCGAGGTACCTGGCTGCAGTTCAGCAGTGCAGTGGCTGGACTGGGCGGAGGCGTAGCACACGTACGCACCGAACTACAAGCACAAGCCAACGCAACTTTACCCCAAGCCTCGAATGTTGTGAGTACCGCTCGCGTACCGCTAGATGTCACTGTCGGATGTGCTAATGGAACAAATTTAGCAAAAGTTTGTAAGTATGGTGTTGCTTTTGACAGCAATAAAGACGGTTAATTTAAAAAAAAATTGAGATGATATTCTTGATGCGTCAAGATTCGGTTCTTATGTATATATGCCCTTTTTTCTTCATTAGCTTGTTAAATCCACTGGTGAATATTTGCCTCTCAAAGTCTAAATTATTCATTTTATTTAGGTATGTCTAAAGGTTTTACGTACTTACATGAAAACAGCAATGACCATTTTGGACTAGGAAAAAATATAAATTGTTACAGACATGAGACTGTAACCAAAATGTAGAACATTGTCAATTTAATTAATGGATATCATCAGTTTATTTTTAAAAGCTGGGTAAGTATAAATAATCGTCTTACAATATAACTTTGCTTATCAGAACGCACCATCAAATATCTTATTACCGAACGCATCCGTAATTATTTACGTTCCTAAACAGAGAGTACATAACTACATTTTATTGGAGAAGTCGATAGGTACCAAAGAGATTTAGCGAAAGCGTGGTCCTACCATGGTCGAGCCAAGCCATTTGTGCTACAAGTATAATATAACTGCAGCGTGCTTTAGCACGTATGGCTAAGCGGAGTCCTGTTGGCGTGGTGCAGGTGTTGCAGGGCACGTGCGCGGCGGGCGTGCTGCACGACGTGTTCGGCTCGGAGCTGGCGGACCGCTTCTTCCTGGGCGGGCCCGCCAGCCTGCGAGGCTTCGCGCAGCGCGGCGTGGGGCCTCGCGCTGACGGACTGGCGCTCGGCGGTACCGTGAGTACCACTACCACAACTATATTACTACCACCACTACGATATCTACTACACCACCACCAGCCACCATGAGATAATTAAGTAAGAAGTAATCGAATACACACACGCACGCACGCACTCGCACTGTTTCAGTACTGTACATTTCAAAAAAAAAAATTGTTGTTTATTTCCCGTCGCAAATAATTTCCTATCTCTTGATTATAATTATTTTTAAGATTACCTGTACATATTAGATATTAACCTATAAAATTGCCGTTTCTTATGAAATAAATTAACTTATTTTTTTTTCTATATTTTTTATTTCTACTAACCAAAGTAATCACCCGTGCAATTGATGTATCTTTGCCAAAGTTGTTGTTTGGTTTGTCGTCGCAGGTATCAATGCGATTCAAAATTCTTTCGTTTGTGTGTCTGTTGAGCAGTGCAAGGCAGGTTTTGACGCGAACTTCGCGCTGGCGATAATTGAGTTGAATGGTGTACTATTTGTCAAGCTTTTTTTTACCTACTTAAATCGAATGGCCTAGTAGGGAAAAAATTTCACTTTTAAAAGTAACACATCTCTATTTTACCACTCTTCTTTGTTTTATGGATGATAATAACTCATGGGAAGGGTGATCGCTACCGAGCTGTTTCTAATTTGTTTTGTATTGTTAATTGTAACATTCTTTTTTTGTCCCGCTGGGTTTCTTGCTGGTTCTTCCCAGGACAGGGTTTTTTACCGAACCAGTGGTAAATTAAAAAAAAGTAACTTTCAATGAGTATTATTTATAATCTATATTGGATAAAAAGTTTCTGTTTCTGTTTCTTCGGGGTGCAATCTTTTCTTAAAATTTACTGCCGCGGTAAAGCTATTGCATTTAAGCATTTTTATCAACTTATGCAATTATAATTATTTATTTATTTTATTTATGCAGTATTTTTTTCTTTGTTCTTTTCTTTGATATTAATTCAAGTTACACTTTTTGAGCGTGGCTACCGATAAGAAAACAATTTATTTTCTTTTATTGAATAAATGAGAAGTTAATATTGTTTAAAATATTTTTGTTATATTAAAATACAAGGTTATTCAAGAATTTTTATCATTGAGACTATAGGTTTATGGTAATTAACGAGTTATTCCGACAAACGATAATTTTCTATAAAGTCTGTGTTTATTAAATACTCTAAATTCACGAAAGTTGCTAGCACGACGACAACTCATATAAATCCAAAGAATATAATTGTTGCAATAAACTATATTATTGTTTAAAATATTTGAAGTGAAAACTTCTTTAGCGGCGTTGTACACTGTTTTTGTAATGGATAAACAATGTTAAGCTTGCGTCAGGACACGTGACCTGATCGAAAATTCGTAAGACGAAAACTTCTTTAGCTGCTGTTGTACACTTTTTTTGTAATGGGTAAAAAACGTTAATCTCGCGTCAGGACACGTGACCTGATCGAAAATTCGTAAGACGAAAACTTCTTTAGCTGCTGTTGTACACTTTTTTTGTAATGGGTAAAAAACGTTAAACTCGCGTCAGGACACGTGACCTGATCGAAAATTCGTAAGACGGGTGGAGAGTAGACAGCCGGCGTGACGTAGGAGAAGATAAACTTTTTAATGTAATATAAATTGTCATGTTTGTGTACGATAGCGTAATAAATAAATATTGTATTGTACCACATAAATGATAGTACTTTTATATGGATAATTAAAGCAATTCATGCAAAATTATTTTTTAATTCCAAAATATCAAAAATTCACAACGTTAATATTCAAGTTTTCACTTCTGCCGGCACTCCCGGCGTGCAACCCGTCTTTTTTTTTATTATCTTACAATACATGCAACTAGTCTACACGCATACGTCTAGACGTAGTGTTTGTGTGCGTGCTATTAGTAGCACGCACACAAACACAACACAAACACTGTGCCGAAGTCTGCCGAACTTAAACGACATTAGACGATGTTAGGTTTTCGGGTCTTAGGTTTATTTTCGTTACGGAATTTCTTGATTCGGTTGCCGCGCTCAAAGCCCGCGACAAAAGCAATGCAATAGCTTAAAAAGAATCATTAAAATCGGTGCATAATTAATGAAGATATTTATTTATTATGAAACACCAACAGGCGACAATATAAACAAACGCGCAACATATATACAGAAAAAAAACCCCTCGGCCTCTTTCCTATTTCAAATTATCGTAATTTTCAAAGAGGAAAGAATCCAAGCGGTCCGAATAGTATTGTCTAGGGGCCTCTATATTGCCTAATCTGGATTTTTACTGGCAGATGTACTGGGCGACTGGCTTGCACGTGTACGCACCGCTGCCGTTTGTAGCGGGCCGTGGAGGGCTGGCCGAACTGTTCCGATCACACGTCTTCATGAACGCAGGCTGTCTCGCTCATCCAGGTTTGTTTTATTTTATTTTAGGATCACTTTTTTATCATGGGGTGGCTTTAGAGAACATGCGGTAAGTTTTATAACACAAGAGCGGCGTCACTTTGCAATGAGGTGAAATTTTTGCCATTTTGCATGGTTAGGATGTTAGTTAGGAAAATGTAATATTGGTTAATGTTTCTTTATGTAATATTGATTTATTTTTATATAAATTTGATTAGAAATGAATAAATAAAATTACGGATATTGCGAAAAGTTGCAGAATTAAAAATAAGTTGGACATGTGTAATAATGTCTATAATGAATATTATAATGAATCTAAATGAGTTATTCGTGGACGAGTACGGCGTGTTTTCGTATTAGTCTGTATTTATTCAACGTAGATCTTTCGACCACGGATGACTTGCGTCTCGTTGCTACGACTTCACAATATATTTATTTAAAACAGATTTCTAGTATCCCTTATCACGGATTCTCCTTGATGAATTTCTATAAAATATAGATGGAAATGGATTCGTTACTCCAATTCATCACAGTAGGTAGGTATTATTATTATTTTAAATTATTTAATAAGAAAACTGATAACCACCTGCGACAAAGTCCACGGGTCAAGTGAATAATGACGAGTATGTAAACAGCGATACTAATACACATTAGCATTCCTTTGACTCGTGTTAAAATACCGACATCGAGTGGAGAACAGTCGAATACCCGGGGCGAGTAGCGAGCACACCCGAACAGAGCGTTTACACATTCGTGCTCGGCGAGTATCTAAGCGTTGCATAAAAAAGTAAATAATATATCACTGAGGCATTAGACTATGAAAAGAGTTATAATAAAATCGCAACTTTCAAATGATGATGAAATTGTGTGACCACTTGCATAACAAATAAGTTCCTACTAGCGACATCTGGTGGACGTAAGATAATTGGTAGGAGACGGGTAGGTGACAGTTGGAAAATCTTATACCCAGTGTTGCTTATACCCTAGTAACTTCTTACTACACTACAATCCAGTACATTATCATTAATCATCATTATAGCTTTTCACAAGTCCACTGCTGAACATAGGCTCCCATCATCATTATCATTGACTTCCCACATCTCTTCTAGGTTGTCACTCAATCTAGTATGGGGTCGATCTACATTTCGCTTACCGATACGAGGCTGCTACTCGGGAACCTTTCTCATCCATTGGTTGTTGGTCCTTTGGCTGGCCTACTGTCACTTCAGCTTACTGATACACGGATCACCTGGTTACTCTTTGATGTAGCTCAACGGATTTTAAAAATAATTGAACTTCAAACATTGCCTTCTCCGTAGTACGCTGAGTGATCTTTAGCTTCCTCAACTAGCGCATAATGAACCGAAGCAGTGACGCTTAAGTAAATGTTTTTAGCTTCATCATCATTACAGTCCTTCACAAGTCCACTGCTGAACATAGGCCGTCCCCAAGGAATGCCACAAAGCACGGTCCTGAGCCACCTGCATCAATCGACTTCCTGCATGTCTTACCAGGTCGTCACTCCATCTAGTAGGGGGTCGCCCTACAATATGGTACAAGGAGGTTGGCCGCGCCCTGATTTGCTGCACGTATTGTTGATGTTCGTCGCAGCGCGGGGTGCGAGGGATGGGTCGCTTTGCGGTGTGAGGCGTGCGGGTTGACGAGACGGCGAAAAGTGAAAATTAATCGCGATTAAATCCGTACAATTGGTTTTATTTTATGAAGCAGCAGTTTTCGAGTATATGATAAGGGTACGTATAGCGTGTAAACATTTCAGAGGAGGGCGAGTCGATAGTGTCCGCCCTGTCGGAGGCGTGCGTGGCGGGGGGCTGGGGGTGGCGCTGCGGCTGGGGCGCGTGGCGCGCGTCGAGCTCAACTACTGCGTGCCGCTGCGCGCCGCCGCGCGGGACGTCACTGCTCCGGGCCTGCAGTTAGGCGTCGCCGCGCACTTCCTATAGACATGTACGTAATTGACATTTCACAGGTACTATCAATTTTGTTGCATGTTTGCTTAGAACTTAGAAATTCAATGTTTATGTGAGAATGTAACAAAAAAATATCTAACATGTCGTAAAACTACCAATGAAATGATAAATTTGTAACCGTGTACCGATTTTTTTAGCTAAACGTAGTCCAAGTTGGTCACTGCTCTTTAGACTCTGCCATCACCTTCAGGGATTACTAGCGTAACGCTATACATATACGTCACACCTATTCGCTATTTATCATCGTCATTACAACTCTTCACAAGTCCACTGCCTCAAAATATGCAACCAAAGGAACGCGAAAAAGCACAGTCCGAAACCACCTGGATCAGGTTGATGGAGGAGGCCGCCTCACAGAATACAGGCATGAAGTGGAAGCAACGCTTCCGCGTTTCGCCTCGTGATTGTAGGTGGCCGGAGGCCCAATTCACCCACCCCCCCTCATCAACATGGTACCGGAATTAAATGTAAGACTACCCCAAGAGAGGAGCACCAGCAGCCCTGGACAATCCCTCGCTGAGCATTCAAGACCAAGCTTCTACACTTCTGAACGTTTGTTGGCTCCGTAAAATTCCGCTCACGACAATAACTGCTCGAGACAAGCTGAGCAACAAGACCAAGACGACACGTGCTACACTATATGGACTTCACTCGAACTTGAACGCCGTCCACTACCATCTCAAGACGGCGAAGCCGGCTCTGCTCTTTCTGACCAAGACGCAGGTGTCCTCTCCGGCTGTTACTTCGTATCTCTCCTACCCGAACTGAAACACTCCTTTATGCCAGCTAGAGCGTATAGTCAGATGACATCTGTTCTCGACGCCTCGGCAGTCTTGAAGGAAGCCTCGAACCTGTCCATCCTTTGGCTACGCGTAGACAGCGACGACTATCCGCGCGTCTACGGGTGCTTCTATAGGTCCCATAGCGGTAATGCCGAAACAGACCGACTCATCGACAACATCCAAATGGCTACAGATTCCTTGCTACACCAGATCCCCCCGCAGAGATCGTGATCCTCGGCGATTTTAACGCCCACCGTGCCGAATGGCTTGGTTCACATTTAACCGATCATGCGGGGAGTTTATGACTTTACCTTGGCATATGGTCTGACACAACTGGTTACTTCGCCTACGCGGATTTCAGATGTGGAGGACCATGCACTTTACCTGTTAGACCTTCTGCTGACCTTTAATCCGGACAGATATCAGGTCTCCGTCGACGCCCCTTTTGGCTCTTCGGACCATTGTCTAGTACCGTAGTGTGGTGCCACTCACGCTGAAATCGCGGTTGCATTCTGCAGGCTGCCGCCGTGTTTGGCACTACAGGTCAGCCGATTGGGATAGGATGCGGTCTTTCTTTGTATCCTACCCTTGGAGGCGGTTTGCTTTTCGCCGGACGATCCCAACGTTGTTGCAGATTCTGTCGCTGATGTGGTACTTCAGGGTATGGAACGTTTTATTCCTTCCTCTGTGGTGCCCATCAGAGACAGATTTTAGCCACAGTTTAGTTGCTCCTGTAAAATAGAATCACGCTAAAAGCAGGAGTGCTACCGGGCCCCGACTGACGTATCAATGTCCCGGGATGTAAACACCAGCGCCCTAAAAAGAAGTATGATTCCGCCTCCAGTTCCTTCAAAAGAGTCATTGCCAAGGCAAAGTCAGAGCACATAGGCAGAATTGGCGAGAAACTAGTTCGCCTTCCTTCTGAAACCCGTGCATTCTGGTCTCTCGCCAAGGCTGTTCAAGGAAATTTCTGTCAGCCATCTCTTCCATCTCTGCACAAGGAGCCCGGGCTCAATTGGCCCATGCCACAACGGAGAAAGCTGATCTATTAGGCTCCCTCTTTGCATCCAACTCGACTCTCGATGACGAGGGCAGTGCCGCATGCAGGATGTGCTGTTTACATAGTGCTCAGTGCGCAGAGCACTTTTCTTGGTGGACGTCAACAATTCGAGTGAGTATGACGGAATCCTCCCAATTGTGCTAAGGACGGGTGCTCCAGAGTTGGCACCGGTTTTAACGCGTCTTTTACGGTACTGCTACTCCCTAGGTGTAGTCTTGAATTTATGGAAGATAGCTTTTGTCCAGCCGAACCCTAAAAAAGGCGACCGCTCAGACCCGTCTAACTATAGGCCTATCGCCTTCACCTCCTTGTTCTCCAAAATAATGGAATCCATTGTAAACTTCCAACTCATGCGGTACCTCGAGGATCACGAGCTGATTAGTGACCGCCAATACAGTTTTCGTTGTGGTCGATCAGCTGTCTACCTCTTCTGATCTACCTGACTTATAAATAGGAGGAGTCATTAGCAGTTAGTTTCGACATTGCGAAGGCCTTCGATCAGGTTCGGCACAAAGGGCTTTTTTCGAAGCTACCTTCCTACGGGCTTCCCGAGAAATTGTAAAATTGGATCACCAGCTTTCTTGCGAATCTGAACATCAAGGTAGTTATGGTTACACCAGCACCACCCGTAATACGTATAAAGCGTCCATCAGCATAAATACATAAACGCTGAGTATGTAGTAATTTAAGTAGACTGTAAGCATAGGATTAAGAATTGTAAAAGACAATGGTCAGAATAAATTCACATCTCTCTCTGTGAACACGTAGTTTTAATTAGTTTTTAAAAAGCTCTCGGCAGCTCCCGCAACTTGACTGGCGCAGCCGGTAGGATCGCCGGAAAAGCTGTGCCACCGTTCGTGAATATCGCGTATACAATTTTACCCATTTTCACGCATCGGCGGGCAATTCATACAGCGTGGTGATCCAGCGAACCAAAACAAATTCGTCGAGAATAAGGAGCCGTGAAGCTGATGATGGGCACTGCGGGCTGGTGAGTACGACTCTTCACCTCCTTCATATACCTTAGTAAACTTGGAATTAAACATTTTCCATTTTGACTGTTATTTGGGTTTCAAATACTAATCTTATGTAAATTTTACTCGACACGTTAATACTTAATAGTTAATACATAATTAGTACTTAAATAAAGCTAAAAATAATATTAAATTAATTGTAATACGTATATAATATTAAGTCCCATATTACTCAATAAAATTATAGAGTAATATTATATTAAGTATTATACATTATATTAAGTTCTTATTGTGTCTACATGTGTTTGTTAATTTAAAGATTACTCGACACGTTAATACTTAATAGTTAATACATAATTAGTACTTACTTATACTCGAATTTTCCTTACATTTGTGGAACTAGTAGAGTTATAATAATTTTTTTTGTGTAGAACTAGTGAATAAATTATTAAAAATGTCTGAAATTAAACTTATCCCTCATGAATTAACTAAAATAATACCAACATTTAACGGCGATAAACGCCATTTAAATTTATTTTTGCGTAAATGTTATAATAAGTAACTTTAAATCATCCGATGTTCAAAATGAATGTATAATGCAAATCATTACTAGTCGACTTACGGGCGAGGCTGCGTCGCTTATCATTGAACGGGAAGATATAGAGACGTGGGCCGAATTCAAGGAATTGTTTTTAACTCACTTCGGCGACCCACGTAGCAAAGATTGTTTAGCTATTGAATTAGAAACTTTAAAAAAACTTTAAACAAAATGAAAATTATGTAGATTTTTGTGGTCGTATACAATCCGTTAAATCAGTGCTATTATCGAAGGTTAATCAAATTGGTGATAAAAACTTAAAAATAAGTAATACTATTATTTATAATAAACACCGCTCTGCAGGTTTTCTTATATAATTTACCTGAAAATATGGTGCGCATTGTTAGGTTGAAAACACCCAGTACACTAGAGGAAGCACTAAGTATAGTTCTAGAAGAAGTAAACCTCTATGACCAATATCAGATGCGTAGTAAAATGTTACAGTGTAGCCATGTGTCTAAGCCACAGTCTAGTAGTATACCAGTACAACAACCATCGTTTAAGTTCGCAATGCCAACACAGCCTACAGGTTTTAGACCAATCTTAGCACCAAACCAACCCCCTAGGCAGAATTTCGGAACACCACCTCAATTTAAGTTTGGCATTCCCCATAGTAGTCAAATGAGGATTCCGTTACCACAAAATAAGCCTCAACAGCAAATGAGTTTCCCTAAGCAATATCACCCGCCTCAGTTTGGTTACAGACCTAGTTTTGGATACCGACCAAACATTGGATTTAGACCACAGGGCTATAGCCCCATGCAACCAATGTTACCACAACCGTTTGGCAATTCTCAGCGTTTTAATTATCCTAGTAATAATAATGTGAGAGTTGCCCCTCCAAAGCCAGGTTTCCGCCTAAACCAATTAGAAATTTATCCATCATACTATCCCTACGAATTTCCTCAAAATTACATGTATGAGGAAACATACGAAAATTATTACGAAGATGAATCCATACAAGAAAATTCTATAATAGAGGTCGACGAAAACAATGATTCAGAGGATAATGACGTGTCTGCACAGACTGAAAATTTTCAAGTGAAAGCTTCCGAAAACCACCTGAAATAATAGAATTGAATTGTGACATAGATCTAAAACTACCATACATATATATACCGGAAATAAATGATAATTTTATGATAGACACAGGAAGCACCCGTTCTTTTATAAGCCCCGATAAAGCATACCAATACTACCGTAATTATTTAACAAATGAACCCTTTGAAGTTATAAGCACCCATGCATCTATCAAACACGATCAGGTAATTAAAATTCCACTATTTTCTATATTTCAAAGTAATGACGAACATAAATTTATCTTTATAATGTCGATTCACGTTATGATGGGTTAATTGGGAATGATTTATTAAAGCAGTTGGAAGCTGTAATAGATTTAAAGAAACAAGTACTTACCACAAATTCTTCTAGAATACCTATAATACACAATAGCTTAGATTATGTTGTAATACTTCCATCTCGTTCTGAAGTTAGAGCAAAATTACCTGATAACATGTTTTATGGCGAAGGAATACT